ATTCCATTCTGGCTCACTAATGCACCAACATCATTCATGGATCTCATGAACCAAATATGCAGACCGACATTGGATCGGTCGGTGATTATATTTATTGATGATATCCTGGGTTACTCCAAGACCAAGTAGCAGCACAAAAAGTAATTACGGGATGTATTGGAGATCCTAAGGAGCGAGAGACTTTAAGCCAAGTTCTCCAAATGCGAGGTTTAGTTGCGCGAGGTGCAGTTTTTTGGGCATGTCGTCAACCAGAAAGGTATATTGGTTTATCCGGCCAAAGATTGAAGTCGTGATGTGGCGGGAGGTCCCAAGGACACCCTATGAGATTTAGAGTTTTCTTGGTCTCTCCGGTTATTATCAGAGATCTATCTGGGATTTCTCCATTATTGTTGTACCATTGACCCACTTAACGAAGAAAAATGTTACTTTCCGATGGGGGCCTTATCATTAGCCATCTTTCGAGATGTTGAGATAGATGTTATGTGAGGCTCCGATTCTCACTCTTCCCGATGGTATGTATGACTTTTTGGGTTATTATGACGTATCAACCTCAAGATTGGGATCAATACTCATGCAGAGAGGTCACCTGATTGCTTACGCTTCGACGCAGTTGAAGCCTCATGAGGAAAATTTTCCGACGCACGATTTGGAGCTGGGGTTGTGGTTTTTTCCGTAAAGATTTAGAGGAATTATTTGTATGGGGTTAGGTGGACTTTTTACACCGACCACAAGAGCCTAAGATACCTAGATACTTGATGGATCAGCCAAATCATAATATGAGATAGTGGAGGTGTTTGGATATGGTGAAGCATTATGACTACAAGATATTTTATCACTCGAGGAAGGCCAATGTTGTGGCCGATGCCTCGAGTCACAAGGCGTGAGTATACCCATTCGGGATCTATGTTTGAGGATGGTTATTATTTCTCCATTCCTAGAGATGATCAAGAAGGCTCAAGTTGATGGTTGGAAGAAGGAAAATTAAAAGGATGAAAGAATCATATATTAGATTCTGTTTTTTATCAGGGATAGTCATGGTTACTGATTAAGTATGGTAGGGTTTAGGTCTCGATTGTAGGTGGGGTTAGGCAAACATTACTATAGGAGGCTCATAAATCAAAGCTTTCAATTTATCTGGGGCCACACAGATTTATAGGGATTTGAGGTTGAGTTATATGGTGGCCCTATATGCAGAGGGATATAGCTTGGTTCACGAAATGGTGCTTGACTTGTAGGATATTCAAGGCCAAACATAAGACACCCCATGACAAGATGTTGCCGTTACCTATTCTTATGTGGAAATGGAAGGAGATCACCGTGTATTTTATCACAAAGTTACCAAGGACGATACATGGGGTTGGTTCTATTTAGGTCATTGTTGATAGATTAACCAAGAGTTCTCATTTCATACCTATTGTTGAGGGCAACTCCACTGAGAAAATGGAAGACATCTACATCACATAAGTGGTGGTTCTGGATGGGGTGCCAGTTTTGGTGGTTTCAGACTGAGATGTTCGCTTCACCTCTATATTTTGGAGGAAATTTCATGAGGAGTTGGGTACTCAGCTGAATTTCAGCATTTCGTACCACCCCGAGACTGATAGAAAGAGAAAGCTCGAGGATGTGCTTCGGGCGTGTAAGTTGGATTTCAGTGGGAGTTGGGTTACTTATCTTCTACTGGACGAGTTCTCTTAGAACAACAATTATCACGCCAATATCAATCAACCTTTCTTCGAGATGATTTACGGGATGAAAAGTCGAACCCCAGTTTGTTGGGGTGAGGTCGGGAATTGAGTTATGAGGATTAGTAAGGTAGTACTCAAGAGCACTGAGTTGATTCAGTTGGTACGAAGTTAACTATAGACCATGAAGAGTTGCAGAGTAAGATGGGCCCCTAGTATATTGGTCCCTTCATGATTACTACCTGAGTGGGAAAGGTTGCGTATCAGTTGGACCTGCTTGATGATTCCACATTGGCTACCTTGGATGATGTTCAGGTGGGTGAGCGCTTGAGTTATGTGGAGAGACTGGTGAACCATCACTTGTTTTGTCTTTTATGGGACATGACATGGTCATGGATTGCCACGATGTGGAAATCAAATGAAGTCACCATCGGCCCATTGACTTTTTGACTTGAGTTGACTTTTGGTCACACATCTAGTTTTGGAAGGGGAGCTAATGGTTTACCTTGTGTGGTTGTATAGGGGGGTGTATAACATCTGTATTTTTGGCAATGAGAGTAGTATCAATTGATTATCATCTAAGAGGTGAGTCTTCTCACTATACTAATGGGTTGAAGGCACCAATGTCGGCCTACTGGATCGTGATATGTAGGATGCTAGTTGTCTTTGATGATACTTTCATGGAACAACCTAGGGGTAGCCCATGACTTTTATATAAATGACAATGGGGGTAAGCCATGACTTTTGTGTATAAGACCTTAGGGTTGACAAGGCACTATAAGGGAATACCATGAGAGTAGCCCATTGCAATGGTGTGAAAGTCCATAGGGGTAGCTCATGGAACTTGTATGCAAGACCATGAGGGTAGCCCATGGTAATGTTTGTATAGTATGTGGTATTTTGGGGAACTCACTTAAGTTTGTGCTTATGGTTTTGTGATTTAATACTTTTAGGTACTTCCAGTTCAAAAGGGAAGAGCCCGACCTGATCGCACAACATCCCTTATGATTTCCGCATCGATGATTAATTTACTCTCACGTTTTTGAGACATTGTTTTATGATGATTTTAGACAGATGATGTATGTTTTGATAATTTAAAAATGAAAAAATTTATCACTATTTTTGGGTTATTACACACAAAATCATGGAAGGTCTCTCCGGTAAACATGGATGTTCAAACTCCATGAGAAAGGATTGGTTGTACCTGGTCTACAACATCTTCATTTAGAGATCCAATGTTGGCGATCTCCCTGAGGTTCTATGGAGTGACTTTCAGAACTTCACCGAACATCGGAAAAATAATGAAATTTTGTGTTTGAGGTTTTGGGCTCTAACGCTTCAACATATATACATGGAAAGAAGAGAACTAGTTCCTATTTAAATGGATCCACCAGAGTTATTTTTCTCTTTTAAAGTAGTTAAATCATATAGACATCCAAATCAGAGCTCTTTTTGACCCATCCAAAATTTACCTCAACATATGTTGGATGCTGTTCCTTCCGATTCTCTATTTAAGTTACAACATAGGTTTTAGAATTAGTTGATCCACTAATTGTTGGGTTTTGAGCAATCTAACACTTCCTAAGTGTGCATGCAACCCTAATAAACCTTGGATCTATGTTCGTCTAAATACATGCAAAAATAATAATTTTCCAAGGTTTATAACCTATCTAACATGGCATGGGGAACATTTCAACATAAAAGAGTTAGAAAAGATTACATACCTTTTGGTGAGTTTGGTTCTAAGGAGTTTGAGGGCCAAGCACCAATAGTGTGAATGCCTCAAATGGAATCACAAACACCACAAACTCTTGGAAAACTTTGAGAGAGTATACACCTTGTATACAATCGGCCACACACATGCACACACACACTAGTTCACTAGTTTTCTCTTAGGCTTCATTTCATGCTCCATAAGCATGCTTATATAGTGTGCATGGTTAGGGTGAAACCCTAAGAACCCATGTCTTTTCCTTTTCCAAGGATCCATGGGTTAAAAGCTCCATGGATCATCCATGGACTTCCACATAAGCCTAGCCCATTAACAAATGAGTATTAGCCCACACTATATAAAACAAATAGCCCATAATTTAATTAGTATTCCTTTTAATCTCTAAATTAATTCATAATTAATTTAAGACTAAAACTAATTAAATAACGTAACTTCATATTAATATATTATAACTCATAATATATTAATAAACATATGTGTATAACTCTCATAAAATTATCCATAATAGTTTGGATGAGATGCAACCCAAATGGACCATGCCGGTCGGGTCAAGTATATACCAAATAAGTTATGGACTTAGACACCTTATCCAACACTAATTCCTCCCCAACCTCGGATGTTATTCACTCGGAAGAGAAGCCGACAAAATCTTAAAGTGACAAGAACAAGATTAAGGCCTAGAATTGACATCATTCTCCCAACAAAGTTAAAGCCAAGAATAGACCCAAAACTGATGGTTCCTATCGAAAGGGACCACAGATCGGTGTTGGACCCGACTCTGGGTCACAGTGTACCCCTCCCCCTTATTTATTTAAAGTACCCTTCAACATCTTAATACCACTTGCACACACATACACACATAAACGTAAGGAGTCAGTACATAATCTACCCCCACCCTGTCAACAGGGTGGTGCTGCTATTGAACATAGTTCCTTATAGCCCACTGAAACACACATACAAGTTATTATTAAAAAATTTCCTTATTCACAAGCACGAGTTTTGACCCCTTCCAAAAATCCCCTGTAATCTGAAATTGGGATAGTCCATGCCCACTTTGTTTCCCATAATCAAACAGATATCCCCCACATATATAATATGTTTGAGTAGTACTAATTTTTATTGGGATTTTCTTTTTCACGGACTTTAAACTCTTTATCTTGATAAATTTGTAGTTGACATACAAAAGTTCCCTTCTCCGAAATAATCATCGCGCCACTGGGAAATTTTCGAGAGATTACAAGTTTGCATGCATTGGTGTTAAGTCAATTCTAGATGAAGCTAGTCATAATTTCTCCTTCTGAACTTCAGCTCATACCTACGATGATGTTCCAAAATATTTGTTTGATCCGTTGGATGGTGCCACACAACAACTAAGTGTAGATGTTCCCTATTCTAATCCAATATCAGATGGTCCTCCTCGGAAAATAGAAGTTAAAGGTGATGTTCCTGAATAAAATCTTATTTTGGATGATTCACCTCATGTCGCAGAAAATCCTTAATGATATGTTCCTAGACCAACCATGGTTTCATAGAATGCCCCTATCGAAGTTAATATTGATGAAGAAGATGGTGCCAACATTGATATAATGTTTGAAGACGTCAATGCAGTGATCTCTAGTGTTTTGAAACCTATCGCCTTGTTTAAATTCCATCAGCCTTCCTCTTTAAAACCACGGGTTGCATTCAAATTACAATCTTCATCGGATGAGATGGATATTGGTGGTGACACTAGTGATACAAGAGAAACAGAAGCCCAAAATGATAGTGGTGATGGTGGTGATGAAGGTAATGATAATGTGTTCATTGAAGGATCTAGTTTAGACATAGCATCCTAAGAAGAGCTTGTTGCCGACCCATTTTCTCTATTGGAGATGAGAGAGAAAGTCGAGAAAGTTGATGCCAAGGTTGATTATGTTAATTCTTAGGTTGGAGCATTAGACTCTAAAATGGGTTTAGTTCTCAAATCCATTTCCTAGTTGAAGTCCATCACTCCCTTCATCTCGAAACATGAAAAGCAACTTGATGCCCTCATCTCTGTATGCTTGAAGCTCTTTATGGAGAAATTTGAACATCGATATTTCAAGCTTATCAAACAACATGAATACATTCTTAGGAAAATGATGAAAGTTCATGATGAACTGGTTAAAGCCACAAATGAGATTATTAGTCAAACCCATGTACGACATGAAAACCAGATACAAATATTGGAGAAGGAAGTTCAAGACAAGGATGACATAAACCTCATCATGCAACAAGTTTTGATCAAGGTGATTTGGCCTGCCTAAGAGTTTGTGGACATTATAAATTACAAATATGATGAGGTTCTCAGTATATTTGAAGAAGTCCTAGAAACCCTTAAAACTCAAGCTCCAACGACGAATGCCTATTAAAATCTAACTAAGATTGTCAATGTGAGCTTTTAGAAGGTGCTTGAGAAATTTGGTGATCATAAGGAGAAGATGGATCTTGCACTGAAATTCGGTCATTCTGATGCAAGAAGGGGAGAAGGATGGAAATGGAGCTCATAATTCAAACTCCAAGATTGAACATTTGGTGATGAAGATGATGATATGATGATTGTATGAACTGTTGAGAAACAATGACTAGTGGGTCTGAGCAATCAAGAACAACCTTTTCTCAGAAAGATCATTTCTCATGAAGAGAAAGCCAATTGGTCTACATGGCCCTGCACTCTTGCTGACTCCATGAAGTGAAGCATAAAAGTCATCAAAGTCAAAATATAGCTAAAAGTTGATGCCTTCAGAGCTACTAAGCCAAAATTGCTTCTGATTCTTACTCGTCGGATCGAGCAAATTGATGAAGCATCAACAATGAAAACTGATATGTGCATATTTGATCATATAATTCATATAATATCTGAATAATTTTGTGTTGTTTTTGTCTCAATTTATGAGCAAAAGGTGCTTAATTATGTTTAAATTTCATTTTCAGCCATAAGAGCATGCTCGGGAGAAAAAGGAAGCAGAACTAGCAATTAGTAGCTTGGAGATTGGATTTTGAAGAAAGAAGGCTTGAATGAAGAAGAACTCGACGAGTTGGTCCATCAACTAGATGAGTTTCCTGGAAGATTCCCGATACAAGGATGCCTTGCCATACACACATCTTAAGTAAAAAAACTCGATGAGTTTTTTCCATAAATCTTGACGAGTTGAAGCTAAAATTTGGAATCTATATATAGATCGGTTATTCCCGAAAACCTAACGGATGTTGGAGGTTTTGGACGAGTTTTGGAGGCTAGAAAGGTTCTGAGAAGCTTTAGTTTTCGAATTTCAACTATAAGATTTGGAATTGAAGAGATCAAAGGCATAAAACTTCAACTTTTCTCTTAATCTTTTTTTTGACTCTTGTTTATAACATCAGATTTCGTGTTTATGATGTTATTTTCTGTAGTTATGAGCTAAAAACTTCATACTGATGTTTAGAGTAGAGTAACTTATGAATATGGTTTGATTGAGTGGCTTGAATTAATTACATTAGGTTATTTGTCTTGTCAAGATTGTTAAATGATTTTTGCATGTTAATGATAATTATTTTATGTTACTAACTAAGTAAATGAGTTGCATGAGCATCATCTTGATTGCTTGAACTTATGGTTTTGTGAAAACAAGATTGTATGCCTAGTATTAGTGAACATGAACCTAGGGTTAACTAGAAAATAAGTATGT